AATCTTCTCCTCTTTCAAACAGATCAAGTGAGCACCTTAACACTTGGTATTTGTACACACACACACCACCCCTTTTGATAAAAAAGATAATCTTTGTAACACTCTGTGTTAAGTGGCACATATTTGTAAGTGCTACATATATTTTATTTCCTTACCATATTAAAAATAAGAGCTTCTTGCTGCTGCCTGCTCAAATTACATGGATTTTCTTTAAGATTAGGGCACACATTGTAACAGCAGCATATAATTTTCTTGCACAATAATTTTTTTCCAGTTGAAAGGTATCCTATAATATCATCAGCATCAACAGGAACAGACACCTGATTTTCAGCTAGACAAAGCTTATGTGTTTGGTGACTTTATTCCTGGTGAAAAGCAGTTTTCAGATATAAAGCAGCTACATAAAAATTCAAAAACAATCTGACAACTTATTCTTTGACAACAGAGTGCTAGACCAAAAGCAAATGCAAAAATTGTGCCAAAAATAAGATGAGGGAAGGTGTGTGTGTGTGTGTGTCCCCTGGATGTCTTATTTCTGTTGCTCTAATTTTATCTTCTGTTGATTTTATAAATGGAGCATAAGCACTGCCTTTCCTAAAAGCTGAATGGATTCCTTAAAAAAACCAAGCACAGAGCACAAAACCCATTTATCCATTTAAGAAACCACCTTGTTGAAACCAACATGTATGTGGCTGTGGATCCCAAATATCTCAAGCCCACCAGCATGTTCTGCAGACAGAAGATTAAAGGCCTACTCCTACCACTTCAGCAAGATGTTAATTTTCAGAATTTGCTGGATTCCTTTCAGAGAATGGGAACTACAAGTTTTCTGTGCCTCAGAAAGCATTTCAGCACGAGTTTGTAAGAGCCAGCCAAGGAATCTCTGCTGGTTTCAAAGCACTCCCTTGCAGTTTTTCTCCTTTCAGAATTACTGCCTGGAGCTTTGTGCCAGAGTTTGAACCTGCATACACAGAAGTTTTATCTTCTTTTAAAAATAAACTTTATATAGAACTCATAATGGCCCAATGCATCTTGTGCCCCAAAGTCTGTCATCTTCACTGCTACTGATCCTTACAGTATTAGAGAATCAAGATGATCCACTTATCAGAGTCACCTAAGTACACAAGAACTGTTAGGAAAAAAATTAAGTTTCAAGGAAATTTTATAAGATATTAAATAATTAGAAGGTGTGGCAGGAAAAAAAATCCCTAGTTTTAGCCCAAACTCATTTTCTGTATCAAATTAATACTGTTCTTAAGGACTGAACTGATATTATCTATAGTAAAATAATTCACTTGCATATATGTTGGGACCTGACCGAATTAAAGAAATGTATTTTTAAGTGCAGTAAAGAAAAATATACTCACTCTAGTAGAGTGTCTATGTACAGTTTTGTTCTGGCTTATTAACTGTTTCCATCCTCAATTAGTTAGAATTAATAAAAAGGGGTTTGTTTTCAAAAACTCACCAGTTTTACACAAATTTGTTCTGATGAAATCATTCTTACAATGCAACAATTTGATAACTCTTAATTGTGTACTACTTTGTATTATTAAGGTCAATCCTGAGATTTAGCTGCAATTATAGTCATCTTTTGGATGACATATGGCAAGATCTCCAACTCTTTTTAGCTCTGGAAATTTTACATCTGCCTGTTCCTTCAAGATGCTAAGCATACATGTGTTGACAAATACAGAAAATAGCAGATGGCAAAAAGCAAATGCTCAACATGGAGCACTGGGGATCACTTGAAAAAGGCCTGGACTCAGAGATTTGCCATTTTTCTTTTAGCAGCAGAATTATGTTTTAAAAGAAAATTCCACCATCTCTTCTGCTTGATGCTAAGTGTGATCAGAATATTCATGATTACAGAATCAATGTGATATGAATTGGTAACCAACCTGCAAGTTGCTTTGCAAACCTTTGGATTTAAGGCTATAAACACAGAGGAGATGAACTTCTGCAGCTACATAAAAATTGGAAACCATTCTGCAGCGACCATCAAATTTGACATGGAATCTTTTATTGCAATTTGCTGTTCCAGCTTCTGAAAAGCTGCAAGCAGTGCTTGGCAATGGCAGTGCCACTTGTACCACCCCCAGGAGAGAGCCCAAGGAGCAGCTGGGCACTTGGAGAGGAGGTGCCACCACACTTTGGGGAGCAGAGAGTGACTCCACCTGAAAGGACACAGAAGGTGACACAAAAGGTCCAGCCAGGGCTGAATTCTCACTAACAGGGAAAAGTGAATGACCAGGGAACAGCACCAGGATAAAACCACCATTCAGCAACACTCCCTAAGAAATCCAATATTTGCAAGTCCACAGCTCAGAAACCCCGGAGAACATGCCCTGTGTTAACATTTCTGTCTTAACATGCCATGGCAGACTTTCAGCAAAGTCTTACCATTTTTCCAACCATGGAACCTCTCCAACTGAGGCACCTTCCCACTGTAACTAAGAGAAGATATGTGCTGTGCCCTCCAGTCTCTCCTACAGCCCATGGGGTGCATAAAAACCTTGGTATTCTCATGCTTTAAGGAACCCAGAGTGACTGAGGAGTGCTGCATGAGGATGGAGAGCATCAAGCAGAGCCTGTAAGAGCTCAGCTAAAAGGAAAAGATGAGCACAGACAGGACAGATGGTAACAAGCACAGACAGGCAGCAGATCTGCCTTGGGAAAACACCTACAAGTAACCATCAGGAAACATCTCTTTTTAGTCAGAGGGATCCATCACAGACACCAAAAGAAAAACAGAAAGAAGTATCTTTACTTTCTCTGCCATTTCTCACTGACTTTTCAAATGAAGAGCACTAACCAAGCAGGTTGGAAATATACAGGTGCTAAAGAAATGCTTGTGTATTAAACCAATACTTTAATCTTCTGAAACTACAGTTAGAGATGTAGACACACAGCTGGAAAATGCTAATTCTGGCTTCAAATACCCCAAAACAATGACATGAAATTACACTGAAGTACAGCTCCAAAACACAACTTTAAAAAACTTCATACAAGAAAGGGACTATGAAAGTTTCACTTCTGTAACAGCTCTGAACAACACCTGTCATTTTAAATCCATTATCAGACATTACTTCACAGGCAAATACATATATTAATTCCATTATTCAGTTTAAATTAGCCCCATCTGGACACAAGAGGTATTTTAGATCATGGTCCTCTGACCACCACTAGGAACAAACAGACCTTTATTCATCTTTTACTCACATTTTCCAGCAATTCAATAGAACAAAACCATTAGGAGGTCCAAAAAACAATGATTTCTATTCAAAATAGAACTAAGAAACTTGGCTTCCAAAGCCCTCTCCTAAGTTAGGACAATCGAAGTTGAACAGTGAGAAGCAAAGGATTTATGTCCAGAATCTGCACACAGATATCTTGCCAGGTGCAGAACTTACTCTAAGTACAACAGTCAGTTTCAGGCAAAGAAAAAAGCTCACAGGAGGCACTGAGAAGGAGGAGATGCACACCAGGGCATGCCTAGCAAATCCAGCTGAAGAATACCAAGATGTGTCAAATTGGAACATACTGGTGAAATGACCAAACTTTAAAACTGTTTTTACAGTGGTTAGAAATAACAATTAACAACCTTCCCTCCAAACCCATGAATTTACTTCAACTCTTAACAAAACTCAGTATCCTGGTCACTGGCATTCTCTTTACCTCCCTTAAAATTCCCAGCTTCTTATCACATTCATTTTGGCACTTCAAACCACCTCAGATCTGCCTTGCACGTGCTCCAACAAACACCCTGCCAATACTGGCAGCCTAGCTAGCAGCTTCCTGCAGAAAAGGGAGTTTTTCCTACAAAACTGAGATCTGCTTGCCTTTCTTCTTCTCCACCAAGTCACCAGCTTTTAAAAAACAGGAATTTAGTTACCTTGGGAATTCTATCTGTCTATCAAATTCAGCTGAAAAGAGTCAACAGTACCAAAAAAGATACTTCACTTTCCTCAGAAACCCAAGGCAGAGAACTTTTTCAGCAAAATGCCTGAATCCAAGGGAGGGAATACAACAGAATAACCAAGAATCACACACAATAATAATCTGGTAAAGCTCTGAGGTTCTCATGGACAAATAGCAGCAGTGCAGAAAAAAATAGGGGAATTCACAGAATGTGAAGTCTCGAAGCATGACCAAGAATACAACTCCACAAAAACTTACCAGAAGCTTTCCAATAAAATTAACATATTTTCCTCCTATTCATTTTTTATTTCATTACTGCTGACTATCAGAAAAGAAACTTTGTTTGCTTTGCATCTGGTCTTTGTGGACTTGAGGGTTGCATCTGATCAATCACAAAAACTGTAAAAACAAACTCCCAATTATTACTTTATTGGTTTATAAAAATGACTTTGGTGTATTGTTGGAAACCTGAATGCTGAGAATTTCAGAGTTTCTGTGCTGGCAGGCACTGACCCCCAAGAGAACACTGCATTTCACCTGAGGCTGTGGAGAAGCTTCCAAAATGGAATGACAGAACTGGGATTGTGGGTGTGCAGTTTGAATAGAAGTGTGTAATATCACAGAGGGGAAAACCTAGAGTTTAAGGGTTTAGAATATAGTAATATATATAAAGGAAGATGGAGGTTTTGGGGTGCAGGCTGGTCCTTCTTCTGCACCTTCTCCTCCATAGGTTTGGGTGGTTTTGTGTAATTGGATAAAAGTCCACATTGTGTGGTTGGTTATTGGATTAAAAGTAAAAATAATTTAGGTGTCATTTCTTAATTGGACAGTTTATCCTTAAAAGGCCTTGTAGAGAGGGAGATACAGCTCCATTTTTAGTTTGTTGGAGTGAAGTGCTGTAGAACTCACAGTTTGTGAGACTGTAGAACAAGAACCCATAAACATCTGAGTCCAGACACAAAATACCTTCTCACACATTCAATCCTGACCTTGGCACAAAAGAAGCAAGGAATCCATCAGTGTATCCCAAAGCTCAAATACATGAATCAGTGTATCCCAAAGCTCAAATCCAGCCTTACCAACAAAGCAAGTTTTTGGTATTTCCTTTTCAGTTCTGCTGGGCTGTCTGAAGGTTTGGCCCCCAGGACCTTGTACCAGTCTTTGTGCTCCATCCTTCCCAGGGCCATGGCCTGATGGGTTTGCAATCCCTTCCTCAGCACTGCCTTAGGAAATCAAATCCATGAAATCACAACCTGGAAGAGAAAGAGAAAAAGCAAAAACAAGGATATGGCAAACTGCAGGATGACTACTGTGCAAAAAAAAAGTTAAATTCATGTGGCCATTCCATCCCACAGCCTGTCAAATGTGAAATCTTGTGTTTTCTATCCAAGTGCCTCGGCATATCTTGCTTTAAAAATCATTTTGTGTGTAAAATGAACTGCTTAGAAACACCCCAGGTTACAGACACACCTTTTACACAGACACTTTTTAAAGCAAACTTTTGACTTTGAAGCAATACCGTACTTAACACATAAAAACATGAACTACATAAAAGTGTGACATTTTTCAAAATGGGAATAAGATCCATGCAAGAAGACACAAGAAAAGGTGTGTGTTTGTTTTCACAAAATGAATTTTTCTTCATCCTGCTGAGTAAGAAGTCAACTTTCTTAAGCAGGAGAGCACATAAAAACAGATAAACAGAAATGAACCAAAACATATCAGGTTAGCACAGGTCACTAAGCAGAACCTAACCAGCAGTGTGGGTATCAATTTTGGCCATCTTTCACCAAATTAATGACTCAGAAAGGAAAAAAAATAACAAACAAGTCAAAAGAAGTGCCAGTAATAGAATGGCAATGCTTGAGCTTCACTCAGATTCTTAGGAATCCCAAGAACACTGCAGCAGGCAAGAGCTTTGTAAATCTACAAATATATTTGTAAATTTACGAAGACATAAACTTCAAGGGATTTAGAGATTTTAGAGGAGCTAAGATTTTAGTTAGAGATAAGCTTTATTGGAGTTAAGTAAAATAAATGGGTAGACCTTGAAGAAGCTGGGTTTATAATGAGGAATACAGAAACTAATAAATAGCTTTTAGGAACTCAAGACAATTGTAGGCCTCTGTTCTGAAACCAACCGAAGACTGGGAATGGGAGTCCTACCAAGGGTTCATTTGTCATATTTGCATTGAAAAGGCAGAAAGGTCAGAACAAGGAAGACTTTATTTTGGGATCCTCATTTTGGAGTCCTCATTATGGGATCCCTCCCCATGACAGAGACAACCGACCCATTTCAAGGAACAAACTGTGCGTGCTTAATGGCTTTGGAACTAATTCCAATACAAAGCAGGGAATGGGATGTACCAAAGTTATGAATATGCATTTCTATTCTGGGTACTCAGTACCTGTGCAGATAAAAGGACTCTGTAATCACCTGTAAATCGCGGTGTGTATTTGGGAGTTATCTCGCAATAAACACACACTTCCTAACTTTAAAGTGTTACAGAGCCTTTGTCCGTCACAGCTGGATATCAGTTCTAGATCAACATCCATATTTTCTTAATAAAGCACTATAACCAGAAATTAATTCTGAAACAACAACAAAAAAACAGGTATGGGGGTTGTTTTTTTTTCCCATTTCAGCACTAAAACTGCTTCCTGGTGCAGGGCACAGCGCCATGGGGCAGGGCACATCACAGAGGGGCAGGGGACAGCGCCATAGCGCAGGGGCCATGCTATGGGGCAGGGGACAGGAGCATGGGGCAGGGGACAGCACAGAGGGGTAGGGGACAGCGCCATGGGGGAGGGTACAGCACAGCGCGACAGGGGACAGCGCCATGGGGCAGGGGACAGCGCCATGGGGCAGGGGACAGGACCATGGGGCAGGGTACAGCGCCGCGCTCCCGTCCTGCCCGCCCCAGGGCCGCGCTCTCCGGCACCGCTCCCCCACAACCGCGGCCTCGCGCACCGCTGCCGGAGCCCTCCCGCCGCCCTTCCCCGCAGCTCCGCAATCCCCCCCGGTCCGGCTCGGTTCGGTTCGGACCCCCCGGTCCCTCCCCGGCCCCGCGGCCGCCCCGCGCTCCCACCTGCCCCGCACCATCCATGGCAGCGCACGCCTAACTCCTCCGGCGGGAAACACCCTGCTCTCCCTCGCGGCGCTTCACGCCTTGCAGCTCGGCCGGCGCCGCCTCGGTTGTTTCCCGCCGGGCAGTAGTGGCGGCGCATCGGCCGGAAGCGCGGCCTGACGCGTCTCCATGGCGACCATGCCTCCCTCGGCCCGGCCCGGCCCTGCCCGGAGCTGCTCTGGCCCCGCCGCCGCCCCCCCACCCCCGCTCCGGCTGCCGGGGCTACGGGCCCAGGAGGCACCGCTGCAGGCACCTTCCCGTTCCCCTTCGCTCGCTCGGAGAGCCGCAGAGCCGCTCTCTGCGCAGGGAATCCGCCTCCCGCCCGGCCCCGCAGGCGCACCGCGGCAGCCCGGCCCGTCGGCCTTGGGTCGGAGCGGGGCCGTGGTTTCTTCGTTCTGTGGAGTGTTTGTGCTGAAGGAAAAGGAAGAAAGTGCTCTTGGTGAAAAAAAGACAAACTCTGGAAGCAGGTTTTTTATGATGTAAAGACTTTTTCTCATTAGAAACATACAAGAAACCACAAAGCGCCTTAACACCCCCAGCCCGCCCCTAAAAATACGAAAACAGTGCAAATAAAACCCTATGACCACCACAAAAAAACCCCAAACAAACAAAAACTAAAACCCCCATCACAAACACCAAAACCCCACCCCATAACAAACAAACAAATAAAACCTACAAGAAAAACAAACAAACAACCGCCAAAAAAAACCCCCAAAACCCCACCACAAACACCAAAAACCCAACCCCTAAACAAACAAACAAAACACCCAAGAAAAACACAAAAAAAACACCCAAACAAACCCCCCAAACACCACCACAAACACAAAAAACCCAACCCCTAAACAAACAAACAAACAAAACCCCAAACAAAACCAAATAACAGACACCCAAAAAAACCCCAAAAACCCCACCACAAATACCAAAAGTCCAACCCCTAAACAAACAAACAAACCCCCAAACAAAAGCAAAAAACAAACACCCCCCAAAAAAACCCAAAACCTCCACCACAAACACCAAAAACCCAACCCCTAAACAAACAAACAAACAAACAAAACCCCCAAGAAAAACAAACAAAACCCCAAACAAAAACAAAAAACAAACACCCCACCAACCCCCTCAAAAACCCAACCCCTAAACAAACAAAACCCCAAACAAAAACAAAACACAAACATCCCCAAAAAAACCCCAAAACCCCCACCACAAACACCAAAAACCCAACCCCACCAGAAACAAACAAATAAATCCTCCAAGAAAAACAAACAAAACCCCAAACAAAAACCAAACACCCCAAAAAAACCCTCCAAAATCCCAACCCCTAAACAAACAAACAAATAAAACCCCCAAGAAAAACAAACAAACAAAACCCCAAACAAAAACAAACCCAAAAAAACCCCAAAAACCGCACCACAAACACCAAAACCCCAACCCCTAAACAAACAAACAAATAAAACCTCTAAGAAAAACAAACAAGCAAAACCCCAAACAAAACAAAAAACCACAAACACCTCAAAAAACCCCTAAACCAACTAAAATCCCCCAAAAAACTTCGGTGGGTACTGTAGACTTTAGCTTTTGGAATCTTAGGCAAAACTAGCTAGCAAAATCCCTAAATGTTTCTCCAGGCAAACTCAGCTCCCACAACACTTTTAAATGGATAGCATTTTGACAATATAACAGTGTATGCATCCTGTGACAATATTTTTATGTGATAAGTTAGAATTAAAGCCACTCCTTGTCCCTTTTGTCACCGTTTGAAGTGTTTGGGCTGGACAGAAGCTGTCAGGGAGCGTTCCTGGCACAATGTTCCATCAAACAGAGCAGAGTGGGACAGCTGGGCTTCAGTGGGAAACGTGGAGAATTTATTTAGGTTTTAAAGGTGGGAAAACATCAGATCTGCAAAACCACTCTACACCTGATTAGTGTGATTTGTGTCTGTGCTGGTGTCGGAATTCAGGACATCCTGGATGGCTCAAACCCCTGCCAGGGGGCTCAGAGACCCTGGCACAGAGCCCAAGACACCTGTAACTTTAATTATGACCCATAGAAAAAAATTACCAACCTTAGATGAAGATCTGCAAGCACGAAAGTCTAAGTAGAATAATAGTTAGTTTGTCACAGGGTGAAAAAGTAGATTTTTAGAGTTTTTAGAATGGGGGTTCAAGAGGCAAGATAGAAGAATCTGGGCATGTCCAGCATCTCCTGCTTCTTGGCCTCTACCTTCTGCTGTGATGTTGGCACTTTTAGATTTGTTTAAGGTAGAAGCTCACTGTCTAACATAGGTGACAGGTATTGGGAAGTTATTGTAAATAACGTACATGTAGATTTTAGTACAAAAAGACAACACCACCCTAGGGGCAGGCAGAGTGCCTCTGTCTGGACCTCAGCAAGTCAGAGAAAAATTTTATAGGTAAGAAACAATAAACAACCTTGAGAATGAGAACTGAGGAGTTCTGACTCCTTCTGCAACTGCCAGGCTGGGAAAAGAGATTTTCTAACACATCTCACAGTCACTCTAACCAACAAAAGTCCCAAAAGGCTGCTTGGCAGGGTTCCTATGAATGAAATGAGAATTTTCTTCTTGGGCAAAGGTTTCAGTGTGGTTCCGTGTGGCTTCTCCTTCACTGGGGTTGGTGTTGTTTTTAAAAAGTTTAAATAACATTTGGAAGTGTTTTAAAAATGTGGTGGTGTCCTGGAGATTGGTCACTACACCTGTGCTTTCACCAAAAATGGTTAATATCTTCCTAAAGAATAGATACAATTTCCTTTATTGCTTATCCCTTATGCCAAAAATTCATGAGTATTGCACAGTGAGGGTTTTTTCAATTTTAAATCATGATAGGATTTTTATCAGCTCATAGAGTATTTGAAACACAGAGTTGTTTGAGAGATTGTGAGCAACTGTATGTCTGTAACGAGAAAAGAGAAAATAAACAGAAATAGAAAAATCTAAATGGAAATTTTATGTATATAAAGTATATATAATATATAGTATATATAGTATATAATATATGTAGTATATAGTATATAAGGTATATAATATAGTATATAGTATATAATATATAGTATATCATATATACTATATAATATATAGTATATATAATATATATAGTATATATACTATAAAATATATCTTATATATAGTATATAATATATATAGTATATATATACTCTATATATACTATATAATATATATAATATATATAGTATATAATAGATAGTAATAATATAATATAAATAATATAGTATTTATATAAAGTATATAATATAGTATATAATATACAGTATATATATAGTATATAATATATATAGTATATAATATAACATATAGTATATAATATATATAGTATATATAGTCTATAATATATTTTATATAAAAATATAAAATATAGAATATTCTATAGAAAATGATTATTAATAAAATATAATAAATATGTATAAAATTATTATATAAATGATATAAATAGAAAATTAACTGTACATGTTACGGAGTTATTTCTGGAGTCAGTGGAACAATTTTGGCAGTGTAACACTTGCTCTTTTCTGTGCATGTTCAGCATGCCAAAGTAAATCAAAATAAGCTTTATGTTATATTTTATATACATATATACATATATATGTACATATACATATATATATGTGTATGTATATATATATGTATATATAAATGTTTATAAATATTTATAGTATTGAATAGAACAGTTTGGTGTTCATGCACCACTGACCTTGTCTGGTATCACAGTTTTTGTGTCTCAGTTTCTCTTTTAATCTGCCCAGTTTCAGAAGCCATAATATCTAATCTGAACCTCTTTCAGCATCATAAATAAGCACTGAATATTGATTAGGTTTTGATAAATTGAAGAGCTTGAGCATGTTTAAGTCATGCAAAGATGAATATTTTGTATTAAATATGGGTTGGGTCAGCCATAGCTAATCATGCCCTGACTGGCTTGTCAATCTCAAGGCAATTTTATGATCTTTCATCTCTAGAGACATAAAAATTAACTCAGTTCAAGATGTGTTAAATAGGAGTGGGGATTTAAGGGAGAGGGAAAACCAGACTGAGAACAGATGCTCTGGTTGGTGAGTCAGCACCACACAGCTTAATACAGCCAGAGCTCTGCTGCCTTTTCCCCTTCTGAAAGAAAAAGGAAAAAGAAAAACAAAACCAAAAAATTAAAAAAGAGTAGGTAAGTGCCAGGAGAGCATGAAGAACTTGCCATGAACTCTGGGACTGTTGTCAGCATGGAGATATGAGACACTTCTGTAAGAAACCAGACTTGCTTAATTATCTCTAATTATGTGAGCATGCACAGGAGCTATGCATGTCACTGGAGCTGGGCACCTGGTTATGGTGAAAAGTTTCTTTCCCTTGTTCTAGAGACTTTAGATGTAAGTTGGTGGTTTCAGACATTTTTGTGAGAATATTTAACTTTTTCGTAGATGCTTTT